GTTGTGGGTGGGTGTGGGTGGTGTGAATGTGGGTGTGGGTGTCTCTTTTCTTCATCCACACCTACACCCACACACCCGCAAGATAAACTGATCGAATATCGATCATAACCAACAAGTACGTTGTCTATATATGAGCTTAATCGAGTAAATCCATAGAATATTTCATGTGCCCATAGATAATGAAAAATGTTATGAACTAATTCGACTGAAAATGAATCAAATAGACACGTAGACATTATTTCAATCAGAATAAAATTATATAAAGACATTTGACTTGAATATAACAAGTATTCAACGTTTAATAACGTGTGATGTGCAACACACCTTTTTAAATGCCTCTTTTTTTCTCTTTTTTCTAGTTTCTATGATTCTATGACGATAAAAAGCACATGAACCGAAACTAAATATGCACACTTAGTGTCTTCAGACGTCTGTTTGACAACTCTTTTTTTTATTTCTCATTAGCGATGGAAGAAAAACTATTTTTGCGCATAAAATAGTTCTTCTGATGTTGAAACATTTTATGTTTATTCTTTTTTCTTCTGAAATTCGAAACCAATATTCATAGTTGGAAATTTCACAATATTTGAGTCTCATTGATAAAATATTCTCGAGTCTGTCTAAAGCAAATTCTATTTCTTATAGAATATTACTAACGGTAAAATGCTCTACTTGAAAAGTAGTATATTCATCATCGGATAAGATATTTATTGTTGTTGGGAGCCACACTACTTGTAAAACTGCTGCATCCAATAGAATTCTTGAAACTACAACACACCTCAATTGGCTTCCCCCTTGTTATCTTTTCTGTTTTTAATACTAGACTTCTTTTTATTTATTATTCCGCTATATATAGTGAGAAAGCCCAGAATGCGCTACATCGTTTGCTATACTTACATTAAACATCACATGCAGCTTAATGTGTCAAAAATGCATTAGAAAATAAGTTACATTTGTTTTTCAGTACAATTCCGGATATCCATAATGTTGTAGCATTTTTTATTTCGCGTATATCTCGACCTCGGTAAATAATAAAATATTAACATCTTTCCCAAAAGATACACCATGAAGAGCTATATAAAAATTGTATGATTGAACTCCGTTTTACCAGTTCTAATGGTTTTTCTTATAGTCGAAATAAGCAGCCTACATGAAAGTGTCACTTCCTATCATATGGAAATTGTTTGAAAGACACTTTTGTTTTGCATATATCTCGACTTGGGTGTGGTTGTGTGGGTGAGAGTGTGGATTGGTGGGTGTAGGTGTATGTATGTGACGTGAGAAAAATTCCCACACCCAGCAAAAAAAAATATTCTAATATAAACAGCAATGTCTCATATCGAAGATTTTGGAAAAATGTTCACTTCTCTCTGGAAGACACCACATCTTCTATGAGAGACACTGTATCAACACTTAGAAGATGCTGATATCCAAGAGCGATCATACGTCTTCAATGCCTAATTGCCACTTCTCCCGAGTGTTGGTGCCGCATCTCCTCGGGAGAGACGAGTACTTTCTCCAGAATTGCGAATATGTGATACAATTCACTAAACCTCATTTAATGATTTGTCAGAAAATAAATAGTTTCGTTTATAAATCTAAGGCACAATGTATTAATCTGAAGTTACATTTTATCAAAAATGTACAATTCAGAATTTAAAGGATAATTCTTGATCCCTTTACATAAACGTTTATCATCATTAAAACTAGAGTGTGGGTGTGCATCTTCATTCCATTCATACCCACACCTATACTCACACCCACATCCCACACCCACACACTCCACTCATCCACTCACCCCAACTTGGTAGTGAAGATGCTACGCGCCAAAGACGACAGACCTGATTCTTCTGCTCATTGTGTTGTAGAGTTAGAAAATTGTTCTTTTCGTCTCTTTTCAAATATCAACTAGACCAAACCTTCGCTTGTTGAAAGAATCTTTTCTATAAAACTATGATACCTTCAGGAACATTCGAGCATTGCTACAACTAATAAATTCTCATAGAGATCTACATAGACGCGTTCGATGAATAGTGAATCAATCTAGGCGACTTATGTATTCAAATCTGTTTTTTTTTCGGATAGTTTCAAACCTTTTCTCAAAACACATATTTCTAGACCCTTTCTTTTGGCAATTCCAAGTCGGGGATTGTCCGGTGGAAACGCTTGACGTTGATTTGTATCAAGATAGCCGTGGCGGTTGTAAAATGCAATCAATTCTGGCCTTTGCACAATCACTCTCATATCCATGAATTCAGCGCGCCACGTATCCTGAGCATAGGTTTCTGCCGTCGATAAGATTTGTTTTCCATAGCCTCGCCCTTGTCGATCTGGTCTGACGGTGAACATACCCAACCAAGCTCGTCTTAGTTCTGATTCATATTGAAGATGAACACATCCAATTAGAATGTTCTCGCTTTCACCAAAGAATAGCAATATTATATTGTCTTTACTCTGAATTATGTCGGCAAGTAAATCTGGATCTGTTCTGTTTCCACCAACTAATGCATCTTCGGTGGTCCAACCTTGATGAGATGCTTCAGCACGGTAGCCGCTATGCACTAACGTCGATATTGATTCACAATCGGACAAAGTAGCCACGCGCCAGGTCAAGAAATGATCAAATGATTCTTTGGTATCGCTTTGGATCAATTCTAAAGTGCGTAGAGTATCCATGTTGAAGAAGTTTGCTAACGGACGTGAATACTTCGACTATGTAAGATGAAATATGACCCAACGAAAAACTAACACCAGATAATGTAAAATGCATTGCAACTCCACAGAAGATAAAAACAACAGAAAAAAAAGAACTGAAACACATGCATCGGTTGATAACATCAACAACGATACAAAGCAAATGTCAAGATAAAAATGCACAACAACAAATGTTCGATCGTACTTAAGGTGTGCCATAGTAGTATTACTACACTGGACAGTGAAAAGTTTGATTGCTTCTCACAAAGGTGTGGGTGTGGGTAAATCAATTGAAAACAGATCGACCTATTTCTTGACGAAAAGACAAGTTCAATTTGTTAGAAATAATTGAATAATGAATGTTCTACATAAAATAATCAATAAAGAAAAATGAGAAGTTCATTTCTCGGACGAGTTTCGTGTTATTTATTAGAATATTGAAATACTCCTCAGGTCTCTGCATTAAAAATTGTAAGCATAGATAGAAGTAAAAATGAAAAGTGGAAGCGACAGCAGCACAACAAAAAATCACAAGGAAAGACGGTTGGTCTTTACAAGGAAATAATTTGGATTGAATGATTTTCTTCGATCAGCTTGACTATATAAACATGTTAAAAGCATACAAGTGATAACATATTGTAATACTTTCAAGTCACATCTTTATATAATGGAAAAAGTCATCGCAGTACTAAATCCAATTATATTGTATAAATTGCAGATAATGAGCAGTAAAGCAAAATCATATAAAATCAGATATTGTTGATGAGAAGAGATTTAGGATAAATTTATATGTGAGATTAAGCCATAAACGAAATCAGTATGAATAATCAAAATACAGAATCGGATTAAATTTTAATAAAGTAATTCAATCTAGGGCCATATTTTGTAGATTGATACTAATCAATTTTTCAAAATCATATCATATTTTAATACAACTGTAAAAATTTGCAAAATTGAATGATCAAATAATGTCTCTTTAAAGTAATGGATATCACAATTGAATCGGGTCAATCTCATTTTAATGACAACTTTGCAATAGAATGGAATTCTTGACTAATTGATATTAGATATCAGATTTAGTTTTTAGTCGATTTCCAAATCCATTTTGTCAGTTCAAGTTGAAGCAAAAATCTTTCTTTGTTTTAACTAATGATTCGAGAGATAATTTACATATTAATTTCATTTTAAATTGCAATTTTGTATTAGAAAGATAGATATTGATCGCTATTATTCGTTAAAATTTAAACAGTGATGAGATAGCGTTGTATTTGAGCTGGAGATGGATACTAATTAGTAAAGTCTACTTTTTTTTTATTAGACTGTCGTTATGGCCGTTGACACCTTGAGAGGGTATGAGTGTAGGTGTTGTAAAAATTAAGATTCATTTCCACTTCCACTCACATCCACATTCTATCTAATTGATACTTAGCAATGGAAATGTAGATAGTCATTCAAGCAAATCGGAATAAGCAGGGTAAGGTCATTTGAAAGCATTTGTGTTAGATTCTGCTGTTTGCAAACATTTTTTAAATTTGTGATTATATATTGAAGTGAGAATGAAAAAAAAGTGTTTGAGAAAAAAAGCAGGACTACCTATTGAAAAAACGCCGATATTGAAAAACTAGAAATAAAAGCAATAGATTCAAATTAATCAATACTGACAATCAAAAACGAAATATAAATAGGAATTGAAAAACAGACAAAGTTTGAACTTATTGAAAAACATTGCTGCGAAGACAAAAGAACAAACTGAAATGCGCAAAAGAAAAACTAAAGCATTTCAATTCATTTTAGTCTTGCTCTTTGAAAACGTATAAAATTTCTTCAACATATTTGTATTGGAGACACTTTCGGTTCACTAGAGAAACTCAAATTATATAACTGTGACGCATCATATTGTTTTCGTAGATGTAGGCTCATACAAACGGACGTCTATAGTCTGCAACAAGTGCGTCTCCTGTTAAAGATCTTCCAACGTTTCTTAGAATTTCTTCTGTTACTGAATCTGTCAACATTTGGGCACCTGACGTATAGTTTATATCTAACATTTCACAACGTCCTTCTGCTCGGCTAGCAATCTGTTTGAAACTATTTTCTGCACAAGTATCTACGAAAAAAGAATGTACTTTAATTCCTTTCGATATGAGCTTGTTTAACTCCTCTTCATAGTGGGTGTGAATGTGGGGTGTTGGTGTCAAATGAATACTGTACCAACGCATCTAAAGTGGGGGACATAAATTTAAGACATTTTTGTTTTTTGCTATAACTCAGCCGCATTAATAGCTAAAGACCTGATTCTTTCATAGTTAGAGAGACCTTGTTAAGGACTATCCAACCTGAAAAAATTGTCAGCATCACATGTGTTTTGGATGAGTTAGGGTGTGGATGTGACTGTGGATATTGTTCTGATCTACCAAGACATCCGAATCACGCACATCCACACACTTACACCCACACCCACACACACAGCCACACCCTAGGTAATATTCCGAAATCATTTTTGAAAGTTTCATTTAAAGAGGAATGTGAACATCGTGAATGAGAACAAGATGTGATATAATT